TAACCTCGACTTTTGTCAAACACAACATTACAGTCAATCAATAGTTTGCAGCAATCAACAACAAAATTGAATGAGGAGGACAGATCTTCGCTAAAGTTTCGTGATAAATGCCAGGACAAAACTATTTATAAATATGCAGCCATGGTTACACGGGTCTCGGGTAAAAGGCAAGATACGTGATAAATGAGGAGATTAAGAAAGCAAAACGTCCGCAAAAATAAAAAACACTACCAGAGGATTTTAAGGACAGTTCTCCTGTTGATCTATTCGGATGATTGAGACAAGTTTTTCGTGATGCATACGTACTGTTTTCTCTGAGAAATATACATCATGAACTTGAAATTGGTGAAGAAAATCATTAGTAAGACTGGATAAACTCACACTGCGACCACTGTCTCATGCCTAAGTCCATGGTGTGGAACTCATTGGTCGTCATTCTACACCTTGACAATGTTTGATAAACTGCCCAACAATCAATGTTTTGCCGTCTGACACGGAAGTTATTCAGCATGATGAATCATCAGGCTAAGGACTAGTGAAATTTAATTGAAAATGTTATTAGAGTGGTTAACAAGAACTCAGAGTCCGAAAGACTTTTTGTTTATGTCTGATCTTTCTGAATGGTCCAAAAACCAAAGCAATCAGTAGTCCAGTATGATATCTAAACTATTATTATTATTATTATTATTATTATTATTATTAGCTTTATTCAATATTATATTATTGGTACAATATAGAATTCTCAGCACAAAGTATTTCAACAAGTTTCCGTTTCTTTCTTCTTGGTCGGTCCTCGCGATAAATACTGAGTGGTCGCCAGCTAGATGTTATCAGTCCAGTAAATGAACATGGGAATGATGTACATTCTTTTCGTTGTACATTGCCAGCAACCATATTCTCTCTTTTTGAGCTTTTTGTAACTTTAATAACGAAAGGTTGTACATTTTTCAGAAACGCAGCAGTATAGGTTGTGCGATTAATAGACATAATGATATATTAAAACAAACAAAGATAGATAACTTGTTGAAATATCTAGATGGCAGGAACAGGTAGCCCAGATGCTCAAGCAGGCCGCCTAACGTTGTCTATAGAATTTAAGATGATCAGCTAACGTACGATGGATTGAAACCGAATGAGCTTGCTGTTCTTAAATAATATTCTGATAGCTTTTATTGTCCAGTAGAGTCTGGTCTAATCTCAAGAGCCATGTGGTATATTTTTATGATATGAAACTTTCAATGAAAAGTTCAATGTATCGTATTCGTCATGAGTTCTTTTTAAATTTTTTCAGTCGTTCTGAGCAAGAAAGAAATAAAACTGTGGGTGCCCGTCAAAATAAAATCGAACATACGTAGGCAAACAAAAGGTAGGAAAAAAACTTGATGTATATACCGTGCCACATGAATAAAATTTCCACACAAAAATATTGTCCCGGATATTTTTTAAGGAAAAATATGCACATATACAGGAATATAAAAAATAGTTCCATACTTCAATAAAGCATGTAGGCATTGGTCTAAACAACGAATTGAAAATCTGTTCGAAGTTCCTACAAAAAAATACTTTCCTGGATGACTCACTTCCATGTCACTTGGCGAGGCACAATAAGCAAATTGATCGTTACATATGATGATTACAATTCCGGATAACCTAGGGAGAGAAAGTTGACTTCATACGCAACTCCGAGGGTTCAGGTACAACAGAGATGAATGCTGGTTGTAGTCCAGTAGTATAAAAGTAACAAAATTTTTGTGGGAAGGTCAACGGTTAACAGGTACGTATCCATGTTCGTATCCATGTAACTAAAACTAAACATGGAACTAGTAATTATGAATTCTGCCGAACGGTTGACAATAAGTCATCATTATAGAAAACATTCTTCTCAGATCTTTTCTCATCACAGTTTCATAATCTCTTGATAAACGAGAATCACATACGAGTTCTCCTTGTCAGGCCTACTCACAAATCAACAGACAATGTATAGGGAAGGAAGTCAAAGGAAAATCTAGGCAAAAATGAAAATAATGTTTTACATATATGTGATTTAATTACCAGCTAAAAGATTATGATAAAACGTTGACATAACTTTGCTGCCACTAAATACGACGCGGACATTCAGGGTTCGTTTTATAACTTGTGGCCTGTTAATGTATAACGTAACGATACCGCCAATCAAAGAGCAGTGAATTATCGATCTGACCGATGACGCGTAGAACCCGTACGAGCAACCTAGAGTCCTGATTGGTCCTGCTCTCCGCTTACCCCAGCCAGTTACGTCCAGAACACCAATCTCAGCCCCTGCAATATGAATAATCTATTTCAAGCATACTTGGTTTATATACCAACCAAAAAGACCATTTGTACAAGAATTAGCCAAATGTGGCTGCGAATGAGGGAACTAGTAATTAATAAATAGAGCATAATTCAAGAATTGTAGATCGTAGAATAATAGTTCGTAGGTCAAAATAAAGCTCATAATAAGCGGGACATGAATATGGACAGTTCAGTTATTTAACAAACATACGATGAAAATATACGCATATTATTAGTCTATAAATGGATCAAAAAGTTACCATTCGTTATGCTTATCGCGACCTAACTGTTTAACAACACTCTTGTACTTCACATCGAAAGACCCAAAACACAGTCAAACCACAGTTCAAAAATGATGAAGTGCTGAGAAAAATTCCGAAGGCAGTCGAAATGTCAATATAAGGTCACCTCGCTTCCTACGATACGACAAGGGAAAAAGTTTAAGGCGTTTTAAGCGCCCATCGTAAGGGATTTCAGGAATACGTCACTAATTTCGTCCTCACACGCTGGACACGCTCAGGTGAGTTAGCGTTCTTGATCACACATGAGCCATCTGCTTGGATTCAACACTCTAAGTGTGGTCTTGCATAGGCGGTATATAATATTAACAACACCTGATCAATGTATTTGTATGCTTAGCCAAATGACGATGATGCATGAAATAATTTGGCATCTGCTGCGCCGCAATACGCAGTTGTTCTCAAATCGTGACTTACTGTAACCCTGTAGTGGTATTGGTCATAACAACAAAATCCTCAAAACTGACCACGAGATAACTGGGAAAATAGATATTAAACATTTGACACAGAGAGAAGGTCAACGGTGGTGGATGCAGGGATATTCATGCATTATTCTCCTGCACGCACGTGACAACAATTGTGTCGGAACCTTATTCATTCACCATCAAACTTAGCTCGAACGTTTTATTTGAAGACTAAGGGCGTTCACATAGCACACATTTAAGGTGTTTTAAGAAACATTCGTTCTACCCATACAGAGCTCGAAAACATTGACTAACAACACCTGACAACATGACAACCCTTAACTGTAAGGTTCATTTTGCCATTTGGCCTTCCAGTTGTTGACCTCGTAAGGGCATTCTCCCAATTGATTCGATCCTCAAGCGGCCAATCTGATCGGATACGAATATTTGAATTAAGAGTTTTGTATGCCTTGTTCAATATTACGTCTCTTCCTTCAAAATTCCCGGTTGGTCGGGTCTCATCTGCGACAGATCAACCGAGTTCTATCACTTTCGTGATATATACTCCTGAGACCTCTTCAGGCACTGTACTTCTGATGGCAGGTTTAACTAACTTCAGATCGCGTGCATGCATTTTAGCAGGGTTATTGTCCTCCAACTCCTCTAGATTTCAAATAATCAGGGTAGGAACGGACTGAAGCCTTTTGAAAGTCGTGTTCGCGGCCTTAAATAGTGATGTCATATCCCGCCTGTTAACTGCTAGGAGCTTACCGTTGGCTTTTCTTGTGACAGAGTCGTGGGAGTCGAGCGGATGACCCGCAACGATGTTCGATGAGGACAAACATTTTCCATCTACGATAAGGTTAAATATTTTCTTACTTTTGAACTTGGGCAGAGTAATCTGCAATGCAGAATGTGAGTCCGTCAACAACTTTGAGACTAAATGGGCGCTATTTTGGCCATCATTTACTCCTTTCTTCGTTTCCACACCATCCATTTTCCATCAGTCGCACCATCCAAATCATGACCAGTCGGGACGACAACAGTTTTGTCCGAGTCATCAGTCGCTTCTGTAGGCACTTGACCACCAGTATCCAGTGGTGTTTCACACATTAATTGTTTCGGGATAAAAGTCCCTATTGCATGTTGCACAGTCGGGTGCCTGGCACATGCCTTAACAGCACTTATGACACTGACTTATTCTTCACTATCAGTAAACACGTTACCAGCACAACCCTCACTAACCTTTTTTTAGCCAACGCTAGAAGGCTAATTGTTCATTGGATGAGTAATGTCTTGCCCGAACGACAAAACGTACAAGGCCAATGGGAGTCAGGATTTAAACACCTTTTATAGGCAGTGAAGTCTGAGAGGGTACACATCTTATGGAACCACTCATTACACTCATCACATTGTATTCCTTTCTTCGGAAGGAATAAGCAACATAGCTCTCCACGTTTATGAGCAGAGCCGATCATCTTAAAAATCAAGCGAAAATGGAAACACAGAAATGGATTTGAATAAATTTCAAACCTAAACCAAAGTGAATCAATTCAAATTCGCCTGAGCATGCTTTGATGCAATAAATACACAAAAGAAAAGTTAATACACACAAGTAAGAAATCACTTAACTGAAAGAAATTCACTTAAAGTGTAAACAGTAGTTTTGATGCGTAATTTACAATCAAGACAGTAAATTTAACTCCACGAGGAAAAGTATCACTCTTTCTAAATAGAGCGTACATTATAACAAACGCTGTGTTCCCTTATTTTCTAAAATTTGGAGTTCTCTGAAAACCCAGACGGCTGAAAATATTCTGTTTCGTGTATCTAACTGCTCTATGAATAAACCATCGTGGAGAGTTTTTTGGAGCTAAGTATTTTCGAGGACATTTATAATCTCGGTTGGACCATCACTGTGATAAGAAAATATAGTGAAAATAATTCAATCTTTTCGTATAGCATTGGCGATTGAACGAGTTTTGTTTAATCCGCCGGACGGGACGTAACACTATTTTTTTAATCACACCGGGATTATGACAGACGCTGGCTTCTTCAAGGTTTTCCTTATTAGCTTTTTAATTGTTTCTATCGGTGTTTAGGGTACAAGTGCTGAGCAAGATGCCAGGTTCGCTGATAAAAAGAAAAAGTTAATGAAAACTATGAAATTCGGAGAAAACTTGGCTCAAAAGGCATGAGCTCTATTTGTCATTTATTTCCAGGTTGACATGTCCAAAATTAATTTGGAGTCTATAAGACCATGGATTGTTAAACGTATAACAGAGCTTTTAAACTTTGAGGATGAGGTCGTCTGTGATTACATTTTCAACCAACTGGAGGAGCGCGTAAGTTTGCTTACTTTTTTCGTTGTTAACACTGAATTCATCATAGAAGCAACTTTAGTTGTGGTTAAGACTAGATCAGGGTTTAAATATTATCATGGCTTGCCTCCGTTCGCTGAATAATTTTGTCAGATGACTCTGGGTCATTGAAAATAGTTACTTAAATAATCAATGTAGTGTTCGTCTTGATCAACCTATCACCTGCGCAGTCCTTTAGTGAAAGTCCTGAGTTTCTCTTAAACAACAACTTTCGGTCCAGGTTTTTTTGTCCAAAAGCCGGATGTGTAGGCTATTTTACTCATTAAACACCTACCTACGCGGGGTTTGCTTTCACCATAGTGTTACTCATTTCGAATTTCGTGTGTAAAAGCCACCTACAAACAAGTTGCAAAAAAGCGGTGAGGTATTTTACTGTTTACTAGACACGTCGTGATTCTGGCATACGTCTTTATGAAATTAGTTAGCTTTGTTACTTGTTGAAGGTCGAACATGCACTAATGGGCATAGTGTGTATGGTTCCTTCATAAACGTAAGAACGGAACAGATGTGCATCGACCTAGTTTACCATACCGAATCAGCGCATTGATACGATTAGTGCTTCTTGTATGTGCATTCTGAACGAGGGCAGATAATCAGTTATTTAAACTGGAAACATTGTACTGAGCTGTTATTTGTCATGCCTCATTCTGTTCTTAAGGCATAAGCAGATCAGTAATCTTTCAATACTGACATCTTTCTAAGTAGTAAAAGTACGCATGTGTAGAAGCTGACTTATTGGTGATTTGCTGTACGTCGAAACTAAGGGAAATTTGCATTAAGTAAAAAGGATCAAGAACTTTGCATTCTTTGTACATTGTTTGTACGTTATCGTGTTATTTCCCAATCAGTTTTCGGAATTTTGATATCCTATGTGGATACAGCCTGTTCGGGGTTTACGATGCTGAGTATTACATTTATACCGATGTATGCCATCAGTCAGTCAGCTACAACGTAGGACCAGGCATATATATGCATCGGTCCAAGTTGCCATACCGCACAGCAGGATGAACACCGGATTCATAGGAGTAGTTAAGTCAGTGGTGGTAATATATAAAAGAAAGATTGCATATAAGGATACAGTACAGGAAGAAAGAATTAGTTCGTAGAAAGTTATGAGGCGATTTTAATCTCACTGTTTAGGGGAAGACAGGGAGTGTATACACCGACGCCATTGTTATCGATTCTGAGCCATGTCACCAAGAGTCTCCAACCATTGGTTACGATAGTCACGCGGACCCCACCCAAGTAGTCTGCATCTACCAATATGGCTCAGACCAGAAGTTAGTGACTTCAGGCACTGATGCCATGTTTTGGTTTGGCCGCCCCCCCCAACTTTCATTCAACCATCTCTAACACTAGTCAGAAATGTGCGTCGTAGTAATCGGTGTTCAGGCATGCATAACACATGGCCCAACCATCTCAGTCGATGAAGATTCACAACTTCATCAACTGATTTACCATCATTTCCTAATACCCTGCGTCTAACCTCACTATTACTGACCCGGTGATTTTAGCAGATGCCAGTAATATTTTTAAGGCATCTGTGGTCAAATGCTAGTAGCTTACGAGTATCTTCAACTCTTAGTGGCCATGTTTCGCAGCCGTAAAGTAGAACAGAACGAACTGCCGCGCAGTATACTTGTCCCTTCGCCATGGAATTTTATGTCCATCGTTTCCAACTGCTGTTTTTATTCTACACCCAAAATTAAGTTCGTGGCTGTCCAGTCGTTTAGATGCTTATACCTCCGCAGAAAATCTTATTTGAAAGCAGCTGTCCTTGTTACTGGCGCTTAGCATTTTGTAGTAACTTCACTTTTCCTAACATCTGAAATTAGGTTTTTACATATTTTAGTCACCCACTGCAAGTATTTTAGCATGTCAGCTGAAAAATAGTGCTATGAATAGATTTTAACGTAGTTGGGGTTTATTGACTTACGATATATAAACCAATTAATACTGTATTATTCCATTTTTAAATTAACTTATAATAATGACCATTTTTTCCAATTTTAAAGTTGGTTTCGATTAAATTTTCAGGTCTTTTGGGATGCACATCGACAAACAATGGTGGAACTCAGGTCTCCTGCGACGCACTGAGTGCGCTGCCGGTACACATTTGAGCTTGTCTGAAAATCTATTAATTTAATAATTAATTCTCATTGTCAGTTAATTGGGTATTCGCTTCCCCAACTTATGTGTTATTTTCTGTTCCTTCTAGCATCCAGACCCAAAGGAAATCCAGATTAATATAACGGGATTTTTAAACAGCAAAAATGCGAGGGTGTTTTTGTCCGAATTATGGGATTTACTGTTATCTGCCATGCAGACACCAGATGGCGTTCCTGCAGCTTTTCTGGAGGCCAAGAAAGAAGAGATCGCAAAGCGTCAGGTAATCTTTCGGTTAAAAACTTGGCAAAGTCTGTACTTGATTATGTGCTAAACTACTATTTCATTGACCATCAAAATTTACTCTAAATATAAATTTGGTCATTTTACTTATTATTATTATTATTATTATTATTAGCTTTATTCAATATTATATTTTTGGTACAATATAGAATTCTCAGCGTAATGTATTTCAACAAGTTTCCGTTTCTTTCTTCTTGGTCGGTCCTGGCGATAAATATTGAGGGATCGCCAGTTAGATGATAGCACTTCAGTGAATGAACAACTGAATAATGTACATTCTTTTCGTTGTATATTGCCAGCAACCATATTGTTTCTTATTGAGTTTTCTGTAATTTTGACAACGAAAGGTTGTACACTTTTCAGAAACGCAGCAGAATAGGTTATGCGATTAATAAACATAATGATATATTAAAACAAACAACAATAGATAACTTGTTGAAATATCTAGATGGCAGGAACAGGTAGCCCAGATGCTCAAGCAGGCCGCCGGACCTTAGGTATTACTATTAATAGTCGAAAGTGTGGAACTATCTAACTCAGTGAAAACGGCGCCTATCAGGATTAACACAGGCTCATCAACCTACTATCCTTATAACTGAAGACTGTATTAAGGCTCTAATTGCATATTAATCTAGGTTGTGTGTGTCAATAGTAACCGTTTGAATTCTATCTGTTCATTTAGTAAAATTAATTTCCTAACTAATTACAGTGCCCAGTTGACACTATCCTCGTATTGTCCTGCCATCACTCCTATCACAATGATTTATTTGGGAGCTTACTATTCTGGATTCTATCAAATTCAAGGTATGTCTCAGTGAAGGTGTTCGACTTTTGGTAACTAAGTAGCAGGCCTTAACCCCGCTTCAACTCTGCGGCCCATAGCCATGTACACAAATTTGTGCCCGGTAAATGAGTTGCTCAGGCTTCAAGAATAAAACTGATATCTTAAAAACATGTCATCTTAGTTACTGTAAGATAATCGTATTTTTTGGAAACATTCCACCTCTCAAATCAAAAACAGCAATCGATATTTCCTGTTATGATTTCTAACTAGTGGATCGTGCATGTCTTTTTTGACAGCACCAGCTTTAATGTAAATAAAACTGGCATTTTGGAGAATTACCAAAAGCCGCTATCTGCCTTATCATATTTGCTTATGAACATATCTACTATCTATTAATTACAAAACCGATTGCATCGGTTTTGAATCTAAAAGCTCACAAATTACACTATGAGTTATCTGGTTTATGTTAGCGTCAGAAAAAATAGATGTCAATATTTGATCTTATCGTTTCATTGGTCATCTTACGGTTGAGTAATTGATAAATGCTATTTCGTTTTTTTTTCAGGAGGACGAAAAGTTTGTTCTCGAAATGAGAAAGAGGGAAAATGAGCTGATTCAGAAAGGAACTAATCGAACGTCTAACATGAGTTCCGAACAAATAGATAATCAGAAGCGCGTTTCGTCTGTCAAAAGCAATGGAGTAGCAGAATCTGAAGAGCCGGAAAGTATGCACTTTTGTGGTAGTTGTCCATCTGAAACTTTTAGTATCCATATGTGATGAGACAGAAAAATGTTATAATCTAAAGATTTACATTATCGACTGTCAATCACATCATCTCATATTTAAAGCTTCCAGTTTGCAAACAACAGGTTACAATTTCTATGACCTTGGGGCATCTACGCTGCTTGAGGGGCTAAATCTAACTTACAAAAGTGTTTCTAGAAACAGATACATGAACATGTAAATTTTAAGGTTCACTACTTGGTCCTATCCTTTCAAGTTTCAGAAAAGACTTGAGTGGTTCTATTGTCAGCAATTCGTCAGTCATCAGTTGGGATTAATTTAGAGCTCGACCCGAATGTGCGTTGGCCCAAGTTGGCATGTTACGTTGGTACGGTGTAATTAAATTTTCAATATAAATAGCGAAGGAATCAAGATATTGTAGTGGCAGACAATGAGAATGACTAAGCATTGATAATGCTCAAAGGGACAATACATAGGGAAATACTGGAACTTAATTCTTAGGGTAAAACAAAGGATAAATGCATCTACATTGTAACTGATTGAGTCACATCAAGCAACATCTTTGACCAATGAATTGGTTGGTGCACTCAATTACCTCACTTCATATCGTTAGTTAAGGTGTTGATTTTGTATACGAATATATATTTATTCGGAGCTTTGGTAAGGAAGCATAGGTGTGAAAAATGTTAATGAAAATGATCAAAATTGTCATGATTTCTCTCCATATGGTAATCATTTGGATCTTAACAACTGCGTAATGTAATCATAACAGTTAAATTCTTCTTTCCAATAGTTAGGCCTTTCTTTACGTTTTTTCAATAATCCAGATATTACGATATCTATCTCAATATTTTATACGATTTTATCTGGTCATCAGTTTACGGATTTATCTCAGAGCCGATTGGTTTATATCAGAGAATCTATCCGACTTCGTCAAATGAGCTGGTCTACCAAACTTTATTGATGGTTTATAAACCTATTTGTCGTGCTTTGGAGTTAATGGTCTTAATTTAAATTAGTGAAACAGCTAGAAATTTAAGTTCATTTAAAACTTGACACCACACCCTGACCGGTAGTATATCTTGTTACATTGTAACATTAATTTCAGAAACAACTAATTATATTCTTAGTATTTTCGAACTAAAATTGCCAACACGACATCTAGATGACAAAAAGACTCACCAGTACTATAAATCAAACATCTCCATTTTCAAATGACATAATCTCCATTCAAACATTAAAACACGAAGTTGAGCGAAAAGATCCCTTTTCGACGAATTTATTTTCAAGCTGTACAGTCATATATATACAACTGGCTGTCACGCATTACATGCATATCACTAGTACAAAGGTTTTGGCCCTCGCACTTCACAACACAAATAGATACATGCCCTCCTTCAGTAAAGGTTGATGGTCACCTCTCAGTATTTGCTGCCATATTTTTTATCATGTTTTCAATTCGAAGGATTATGCCAGTGATTTTATTAAACATATGGCAGACTTTTTTTCAGCTTACGTTCTCCTGCATATATACATAAACCAAACAAGTTGAAACTCATGCAGTTTATGTACATAAGCATACACATCGAGCAGCATGCGAAAATTTAGCCCCAGAAAGTGAAATCCAGTTTATTCGGCTTACAAAAGAGTAGTGGGTTGGTCCGATCTCATCGGTCGCCCAAACTAACTAGTAAAGTTTCCCTCACTACCTGACCACCACGTGGAGGCTTTAACTCGGATTTAGCTGTCTAGCCACGGGTAATGCTCTTTTCACCCTAAAAATACATGTGACATTCAATTATTTTCCTACCATGCTTAGTTAATGCTATAAAAATTAAAGTATACTCATCAGAATCACCGTATTTATTTTGCCAGCTTTTACCAATCGCAACCGTTCTACTTCACGAACAGCATCACCAGCCCCTCAACCACCTACAACTACTACAGAAAGTCGTGAGAAACTCGTAAGTATTTTATTTTTAAATTATAGCTTTTCCATTTGCTTTTTAATCTTAACTAGATTTGTAGGTACCATTATTTTCATATTCGGGTGGTATTGCAACCTTTCACGTCATACCACTTTATGTTATGTCGACTTATAGCTGCTTGCAATTGTTCCAACACATTAATATTAAGTCTGATAACGTTTGCCGGCACTTCACGTTATGATGCAACTTTTAATGATTAATAGTTTCATCTACGAACAAGCTTAATGTCTTTTGATGACTGGAATTTTAGGATGGAGCAACTAGTCGAACTGCTCATCGAGATGAAACGAGTTCGTCGCGTTCCCCTGAACAACACCGTCGCCGTCGTCATCATCACCACTCTCCTGAGAGATGTCCGGTCGACACAAGACGCCGTAGATCACATTCACGCACTCGTCATCGTCGTCAGCGTTCTAAATCTCGCTCCAAGCTGGTGCAAAAGCCGTAAGTGATACTAAATGCAAATTTCATGAGTATATTTCTTAAATTCACTTTATGCTAAAATTTATTATATCTTTTTAGTCTTGTTAACACGTCCAGCAAGTTTTGCATTCCCACCTAGAAATTTATCTGGTACATCACTGACAATACTTTTTTCTTTTAAATAGGAAATCACCTGTCACTGACTGGAGAAAAGACTTGATGGCCGGTAGACGTCGCAGTCCACCGGAAATGCCTGAGAGTAGTTATTATGGAAACGAAAAACGTTCAAAAGGCCATAAGCATTCCAAAAAGCACGATAAACATAGACATGGTAACAGTCATTCACACAAATCTCACAAAAGGTCTCCGTCTCACAACGCAGACTATTATCGGCCTCGCAAGCATGCTCATAATTCTGGATCCCGACACCATAACATAGTCGAAGTTAACGAGAGAGATCAAAGATCAGGTTGTTTCGAACAATCAAGAAAAGATGGTTTTGCTGAAAACTACAGAAAATATGAAGGTCCTGACCTACCTTCTCATTACGATTATCGTTCGTCTAATAGATACAGACATGATGCTGAATCACACGGTCGCAACGCAAGCCCAGAACCAAGCCGCGCGCGCGATAGAGAATCTGATTGGCATCTCAGAGATCATGATCACCGACATAGTCACCATCCTAGTCACATAAAAAGAAGAGAAACTTCATCTGGACACGAAAATTTATCCTTTGAAAGACGCCAGTATCACCGTTTACCGAGTCCTGAAGGGCCGTCACTGCCCCCAAATATTTCCAAAAGACCTTCAGATTCTAGGATAATCGAAGGTCAGCTAGTTCTTTTTGTCAATGTTATGGTGAATATAATACATTTTGCTCATTCTTTTTCAATATTGTCTAAGTTTTGTCTCAGTTGCATATAAAGTTGTAGTGAAGTTTACTGATAATAAAAACCTGCTGTAGATAATTCAGTTAACTTCATAAGGTGATTTCAGCGTTCCAAGGGCACATTTACCGTGACAAATAGTAATATGACCGTTAATATTACAGCGTGCCTGCAAGTTGTGATGGTTTGGCTCCAGAGGTCTTCAAGTATGGTGGTCCAGTTTTAACGATTAGGTTGACTAATATTTTAGCTAAAATGTGGTAGTCAGTCAGTAACAACGTAGAACTTCGTACGTACGTACATCAGTTCGAGTTGCCACACCACATTAGCACAGAGATGCAGTTGTCGATTTAAATCCCGTAGGACGGAACAAACTGCTGCGCAGTAAACACGTCCTTTGATTGATAGACGGATATCTCGCCTACACCATAAATGACGCAAGTTGGCAAAAGCTAGTCGAGCATTCTGTATCCGTGCTGAGATTTCGTCACACACTAAACCACAAGGGCTGACGAGACTTCCAAGATAAGTGAAGCGGTCGACACACTCAACTACTTCACTCCCTATCACTAGTTCGGGTGTCGATGTAACCCAATCTGGTAACTAAATGTAATCCCATCTGACTGGTCGCAATCACTGGTTGTCCCAATATATAAGAAGGGGTCTAAATCATCCTGTGATAACTATAGGGGGATTATTTTGACTAATATCAGTCAGTCAACTACAAAGTAGGACCAGGCGCATATATGCATCGGTTCAAGTTGCCATACCTCATTAGCACAACAAGATGAACACCAAATTCACAGAAGTAGTTGCTTCAATAGTAGTGATATATAAAAGAAGGATTGTGTATATGGATATGATACCGGGAGAAAGAATTATTTCATGGAAAAAAAGGTATAAAGCTATTCTAATCTCACTGTTCGAGAGAAGACAAAGACTGTATTCACCTATGCCATTGTGAGCGATTCTGAGCCATGCCACTAAGAGTCTCTAACCATTGGTTACGATAGTCACGCGGACCCCAACCAAGTAGTCTGCATCTACCAATATGGCTCAGACCAGAAGTTAGTGACTTTAAGCAATGGTGCCATGTTTTGGTTTGGCCGCCCCCCCCAACTTTCATTCAACCATCTCTAACACTAGTCAGAAATGTGCGTCGTAGTAATCGGTGTTCAGGCATGCATAACACATGGCCCAACCATCTCAGTCGATGAAGATTCACAACTTCATCAACTGATTTACCATCATTTCCTAATACCCTTAGTCTAACCTCACTTCAACCGATGCATATATGCTCCTGGTTCTACGTTGTAGCTAACTGACTGACTTATATAATTATGGTACTAACTCAAAAGTAAGTCTTGTACGATCCAGGGAATGAGCTGTTTATCAGTATTCGCTAAAGTGCACTATTTTACATAATATTAGTTGCAAACGATTTACCTTCAGGGTAATTGGATTTCCTTCTGAGTTTGTTGAATTTCCTATGACTGGGAGTAGAGACAAATAGGTTAATCGTCCATTCTGAATTTTCATTATCAGAATGTGACACCTGTTTGAAAGATGGGAAGCTCATTTTATCCATAATATTATGTAGATCCATCGTTCCGAATGCGAAAACTAACCATATATCAGATAAACACACACTACCAATATATCAGATATGGATTTCACTGCATTGAAGATGCATTGGTTCTTCATTTGTTGTCAGTTTGTGACGAAAAATTACTTCGGAAGTACAATTCTCCACCTAATTTTTAGTTAAATATTAATTGAATGCTTACTAATGATTATCTTTAAAGTTTGAAAGGATTCAAGTAACAGGACTTACGGATCAATATGGTGTCATAGTTTAATAATTTTATTGTTTAATTTTCTTAAATTAAAGTTGCAATCTAACTTCCCCAACTTTGTTGTTTGCTTCCAGGAGTCCCCAGTAAGCGTACAAAACGTGAGGCATCTGCTTCGTCAAGCAGCTCATCAACCAGCAGCAGCAGCTCTAGTAGTAGTGGTAGTAGTAGTAGTAATAGTAGTAGTAGTGGAAGCTCCAGTAGCAATGAAAGCGAAAGCGAAGGAAATGGAGAAGAATCTAAAAAGCCACAAATTAAAATCCCAAAGAAAGAACCCACCCATGAAGGTCCTGCCCTCCCTCCAGAGCTGGAGGTATCTCAACCTGAAGGTCCTGCTCTTCCTCCGGATGTTGAACTCGCTGTAGAGTGGTCGGAAAACCCAGCCCATTCTGGATCTACATCCCCAAGTTCGACAACTTCAGGATCTTCTACTGGTGACGAACACAGTGAGGAATCGGGATCAAGTTCAAGTGATAGTGACAGCGGCAGCAGTAGTAGTAGTGGTACCGGTAGTAGCAGTAGCAGTGAAAGTGATAATGAAGCCAACACGAAACCTCATAAATCTGAAAGAAACGGTAAACACCCTAAAAGTCTTGGAAATCATATGTCTCCTGAAGGTCCTGCTTTACCTCCTACCTCTAGCTCTAATTCACATAAGGTATATGCTCCTCCTGCATAGTTGTTGCATTTTCTGTTATCATTATTACTATTCCTTATTTTTCAAAATTTTGTTTCATAACGGGTTTACTTGAAGGCTGATATGTATTTTCAAAATCTTCCGTTTCAGAATGTTGATAACATCTACACTTTTGTAGCACATGCACGTTGTGTAGTGCGAAAACTCTCCTATCATTAATGTAGTTTGGTTAAAAATTGAATAAAAACACTTTCATATTGATCCTTTACTGGTTCATCGAGGGTTTTGTTATTGTATCAGTTTATCTCCGATAGTGATCTGAATCCTGCTTTTTGGTGTCTGGCATTGTGAAGAAACAATTAAGCATTAAGTCACTGTTGAATACTCTCATGAGTGAGTGGATCACATGAAAGAATTGTACGTGGTTGTTATGCTTTACGTTTTCTCTAAGTCCTAGTATTTATACTCAGAACTTGTGACATCTGTAGAAGCTTGACCTGTTCTTACAGTAATCCTGGGAACCTGAAATATTTATGGAAGTTCGGATCTCTACTTGTTCATGTTGACATAGTTCTAGGACTTCTTTTAAAACTATAGAGTCATCTAGCTGTTATTAAATCATAGGTTAATTGTTCATCCTAGTTGTTTAATACAGACGTTCTTGTAATCCATTGCTTGAATTATAGCCCTACTCACTATCCTTTCAGGACAAATTGATCTAGTACGTATATGCAATTGGTGTCTGTTACGTATATTTAGTTTAAGCCTTTTGCCCCAGCGTCATTGCAAAAAGTTAGTCAAAGTAAGAATAACAAGACTCGCAGAATAAAATGAATTTATTTTATATCAGCTGCCAGGAGGCTTTAATATTCATCGAATTTCATGCTTTCTGCTTTCTTACACTTTACCAGTCGGACAAGTATAGATTTGGAACGTCGTTGACATTCTTTGTCCACTCAGTCATAACGTAGCACTTTCAAGAATTTCGCGTCAACACAAGTGCCCACATCAAATTATGATACTTACTTACTAACTTACTTACTTACTTACGCCTGTTACTCCCAATGGAGCATAGGCCGCTGACCAGCATTCTCCAACCCACTCTGTCCTGGGCCTTCTTTTCTAGTTCCATCCAATTCTTGTTCATTTTTCTCATGTCTATCTCCATTTCTCGGCGTAATGTGTTCTTTGGTCTTCCTCTTTTCCTTTGACCTTGAGGATTCCATGTGAGGGCTTGTCTTGTGACGCAGTTGGGTGCTTTCCTCAATGTGTGTCCTATCCACTTCCAGCGCTTCTTCCTGATTTCTTCCTCCGCTGGGATCTGGTTTGTTCTCTCCCACAGTACGTTGTTGCTAATAGTGTCCGGCCAACGGATCTGAAGTATTTTGCGTAGACAACTGTTAATAAACACCTGTATTTTCTGGATGATGGCTTTCGTAGTTCTCCAGGTTTCTGCCCCATACAGTAGAACTGTCTTGACATTTGTATTGAAAATCCTGACCTTGGTGTTGGTTGACAGTTGCTTTGAGTTCCAGATGTTCCTCAGTTGTAAATATGCTGCTCTTGCTTTGCCGATCCGCGCCTTCACATCTGCATCAGATCCACCCTGTTCATCAATGATGCTGCCCAAATATGTAAAGGTTTTTACATCTTCCAAATCTTCTCCGTCAATTGTGATTGGATTGGTGCATTCTGTGTTGTATCGGAGAATCCTGCTTTTCCCTTTGTGTATATTGAGACCTACTGCTGCTGAGGCTGCTGCCACACTGTTCGTCTTCTCCTGCATCTGTTGTTGCGTTTGGGATAGAAGGGCCAGATCATCTGCGAAGTCCAGATCGTCCAACTGCATCCTAGATGTCCATTGTATCCCGTGCTTCCCTTCAGACGTTGACGTCTTCATGATCCAGTCGATCACCAGGAGAAAGAGAAAGGGTGAGAGTAAGCAACCTTGCCTGACACCGGTCTTTACCTCGAACGACTTTGTCAACTGTCCTCCATGCACGATTTTGCAGTGTAATCCATCATAGGAATTCCGTATGATATTGACTATCTTCTGAGGCACGCCGTAGTGTCGAAGAAGTTTCCATAGTGTTGTTCTGTCCACGCTATCAAATGCCTTTTCGTAGTCAATGAAGTTGATGTAGAGTGATGAATTCCATTCAATTGATTGTTCCACAATGATCCGTAGAGTTGCGATTTGGTCTGTACACGATCTATCCTTACGGAATCCTGCCTGTTGGTCACGAAGTTGGGCGTCTACGCAGTCCTTCATCCTGTTTAACAATACCCTGTTGAAGACTTTTCCCGGTATTGAGAGAAGAGTGATGCCCCTGTAGTTATCACAGTTGCTGAGATCGCCTTTCTTCGGTATTTTGATCAGAAGTCCTTCTTTCCAGTCTGTTGGTACTTGTTCCTCATCCCAAATCTTATTGAAGAGAATGTGGAGTATCCTTGCAGTTGCCGCTACGTCTGCTTTTAGTGCCTCTGCTGGGATGTTGTCCGGTCCTGCTGCTTTGCCACTCTTGATTTGTCTGATGGCCATGCTGATTTCTTCAATTGTTGGTGGGCCAACATTGATTGGGAGGTCCGTGGGTGCTGCTTCGATGTTGGGTGGGTTCAGTGGAGCTGGTCGATTCAAGAGTTCTTTGAAGTGTTCTACCCACCTGTTTTGTTGCTCTTCAATGTTGGTGATTACCTCGCCTTCCTTGCTTTTCACTGGTCGTTCTGGTTTGCGGCGATTTCCAGAGAGTTTCTTTGTCGTGTCATACAGTTGTCTCATGTTTCCTTCTCTTGCAGCCTTTTCCGCCGTCGTTGCTAAATCTTCCACATATTTACGTTTGTCGGTTCTGATGCTCCTCTTCACTTGTTTGTTTACTTCTGTGTATTCAGCTTGTGCCTTGGCTTTTTCTGCTCTTGTTCGACTGGTATTGATTGCTGCCTTCTTGTTCCTCCTTTCTTGAATCTTATCCAGTGTATCAACAGTGATCCATTCCTTGTGATGGTGCTTCTTGTGACCCAGGACCTCATGACATGTTGAAGTGATTGCCTCTTTGATCCCCTTCCAGTTGCTCTCCACAGTAGTTCCTTCTCCATTGAGTAGATCATGAAAGGCCTGGAACTTGTTGCTGAGGACTATCTTGAATTTGTTGAGTTTGTTAGTATCCTGAAGAAAGGCCGTATTGAACTTTTGTGATATTGTCCGCCCCGTTGTCCAGTGCTTCTTGAGTTTCAATTTCATCTTGGCGACCAGCAAGTGATGATCTGATGCTATATCAGCTCCTCTCTTGGTTCTCACGTCCTCTATAGTCCTCCTGAACGTTTTGTTGATGCAAATATGGTCGATTTGGTTTTGGTGGTGTGATCCGGTGAAGTCCATGTGGTTTTGTGTATGCGTTTATGTGGGAATATGGTGCCGCCTATGACCAGTTTATTGAAGGCACATAGATTTGCAAATCTCTCACCATTTTCGTTTCTTTCTCCCAGTCCGTGTCGTCCCATGATGTCTTCATATCCAGTGTTGTCCGTTCCAACCTTGGCGTTGAAATCTCCCATCAGAATAGTCAGGTCCTTTGTTGGGCACTTCTCGACGATTGACTGCAGCCTATTGTAGAATTGATCTTTAGCGTCTTCATTGTAGTCGTTGGTAGGCGCATAGCATTGGATGATGTTCATTGAAATACCCTCTTTCTTTGTTTTGAACGAGGCTTTGATGATCCTTGGTCCATGAGATTCCCATCCTATAAGCGCATTTTGCGCTTGTTTGGACAGCATCAATGCAACTCCTTGTGTATGTGGTGCATTTTCATCTTCATGGCCGGAGTATAACAGGAGCTCTCCTGTAGTTAGTCGTTGTTGTCCAACTTGTGTCCAATGTGTTTCACTGATCCCAAGTACCTCTAGGTTGTATCTTCTCATTTCTGCAGCAATTATGATAATTAGATAAAAATAAAAATATGGACAGCTGAATGTAATAATAATATTATCAGTGATTGTAGAAGACTAAGCAAAGAAAATGACTCACGAAGAAAGGATTGGTTCACGGAGTAAAATTTTCCATAATACTGAAACTCATAATCTAGCATTTGTAGGAAGGGAATGCATGCGATTGCTCTCCTTACCGATTTTAGCTTTCTTCCAACCAAGACTACATGTTGGAGTAGGCGTAACGCGTGTCAGCTAAATCTGTCAGCGAAGATTCACTGCTTCATATATCGACTGGGCCAATAAAATACTCCTAACCTCAGCATTATTCACTCGGTTCTACTGTATGCAATCATTGCTTAAGACATCTTATAGGTAATGTACGTCTCGCATGTTCACAGACCATGTTTCACAGCAATACAGAGCGGACATCCTCACATCGCAAGTAACCTCAAATAGCAAAAGCCACACGAGTTTTCTGAATCCATGTAGAGATTTCATCATGCACAAAACCACCAGAGTCAATGAGACCAAGATATGTGGATTGGTTGGCGCACCCAACTACTTTACTCTCTATCATTAGTTCAGGTTGACGCAAACCGGTTATAGAGCAACGTTTTGAATTAAGGAGGGGAGGAATGTATCTCGTACGAGCTTAAATTGTTTCTAAAGCCATTTAAAAGACTGCAGTCTTAGTGTCTTCACTAAACAGGGGTATGTCTTCTACGTACTCCAGGTAGGTGAATGGGTTTACAGAAGAGTGTGATTCTTAGGATGATATCTATGACAAAAACGGAGATAATGGACTCCCGTAACTAAGATCACCTAAAGTTGACGATTCCAACAATAGTTGGACGTGAACGTTGATTCGATCAATATTGCCCGTATAAACGGCTTTTACAAATTTTGTATACTTTAGCACACCTTTTAACGACAAACCGAGTGGTCTGGCACTCTGATTTGTTTTAAGGGAGTTTTCCAGGCTCTCCGTAACCTTTTAAGCTCCTAACTTACGCTAAAATTCGTATTTTAGACTACTTTAAGCATTGATAAAAATACAACCAACTTAAGCATTCTTCATATTCCTATCTTCGAGGTAAACATAGGGAAACTTGTCAGCTGTCTACTTTCTGATACTTACAAAAGAGATTTATCTGTATAAGCGTCAATTCATGATCCATTTACTAGTTTGGAGATTATCTGAGACCTGAATAAGGATAACACTTGTTTTGTAGTAACCATCTATATTCTATTTTGTGAAAGTTAATTTTTTTATTTTTTTGTGTAGATGATTGACCCCCATGAATCAGTTGAAGAGGTTTTACGTCGACGGGCTTTGGAGTCTTTACTTCGGAGCTCACAAAAACTCCGCGGTTCTCCTTAGATGGAATGAGTCGATTTCCATTGATTTGTGGATTAAATTTTACAATATTTTCCTCTTTTTCATTATTTGAGACAACACATACTTTTGCCGGTTTAAATAAATAGGAAATAAATGTAAACAAAAGCTGGGTCATTTTCCTAAAAATTCTTCAATATGATCAGATATCTTCATAATAAACCAGTGTATTGTCAGTTGTCGAATTTCCTTTAACCCCATTTTGTATAGACACTCCAAAAATTCATAAATTATGTTTTGTTGAAATGAATGTTAAATTGTATTTTTTTGAAGGATTGCATGTCTTAATTATACTGGGTTTTATAATATGCAATGTTTATATAACTAAACAAATTGAAAATATACTCTTTCATGATCAGCGTTAAATATCTGTATTGTAAGCATGATAGCAAACAAAGTTATTTGCCATTTTCTCTCTTAATCCATTTGAAATTTATCGAGAAAGCGTATTTAACCGATGTTCTACTTAAAAAGTGAGATTTTTTTGCATTAAGAAAATATACGTTTCAGTAGTTTATATTATTTCAGTTATATTAAGTAAAACGATCAATTTCGAAATAACTGTTGATTTAGGAGGCTAAATAGCTCCCTTAAAATTTATGAAGAACAGTTGCTTCATATGTGAAACCGTCTCACCCACTTCTGTTTGAGCATTCAGATAGTATCACTAATCGTCAAAGCTAAATACACAAATTTGTACTTGGTACAGATCTCTGAACTCGAAATGTGGGTGTTCAAAATATACATAATGTTTGGTAAGCGTGACTTCTAAGGTTTCACCTTTTATCACCGTATAAATATTTATTTGGTGTTCTATACCTACTTTTCTAGGATACGACAGTACAAACCAAAATATCAGAGAACGTTAATTTTTGGAGTAGGGTCTAATTAACCTAAACTTTTGTAATGTAAGTCGTTGAATTCAGGTCTAAGTAGTGGACTTTAGGGCACGGCTCTTGTGTGATGGCTCGTTACGCTAACCGATTGTCAAAACTGAGGGCTCAAACCTGCTTTAACTACTTTCTCGTTACATTATGATCAGTTCAGTAAATACGGATAATAGCCTAGTAATATACAAATAGACTTTTCTCCATGCCAGTCACAAACCCGATTACAATGTCTTCCCTCAGTATTTGTTCTGAAAGCCTTAGATTTAAGGACCAGTTTGAGAAGCCCTTATTTTGCTATACTTTTCCTCGTTGAGTTAACCATCACTGGGATAATTTGATCCTCAGCTGATTAAAATAAAATACACAAATAAGATGGTTCTTGGTTCGTAAAAGCCATTGGCTAACTTGATACGTTTCTCGAAACCAGCTCGTGATGTCATTAGGAACGGTCTTATCAGCGAACAGAATGAGTCGTAGTGTAAGAGCGGTAACAAGTGTGTATCGGTCCAGCTTGCTATAACTCACACTGCCACTGCATTTGAAGGAATTATTAAAGCCCAAGGTGAGAGGAATTAATTCCAATCGTAAAGCAGATCGAAACATTAGTAGTACCACTGATAAAGGATTAGTGAGGTCGAACCAAATAGGAAGTCTGCACCATTCAACATGGCTTATGTCAGTCTGATAACCACAATTGTTTAACGCTGTTCTATAGTCCTCTGGGAATGCTTATAAGTATTAATCCTAGAGTACGTATCAATCATATTGCTTCGAAATCGCTACTCATCATCTAGTTCATAGGAATCACAGGTATGAATTCAAGTTCACACATTCTCAAGTTTCTGTGTAATGCTGAACAACAGATTAATAATTAAGATGTAATAATAACACTATTTATAGAATTGTATAAATAACATAGGCTTTTATTAATATATTGATTTATTCTTGTTGTAAACTATTGTTCAAGTGTCTTTTGTCTAGTGAGAGCACATTAGAAAACAAGACATGTCAATAATGTCCTTGTTCTTTCTCTCATACAAATACATTAATCAATAATTATACTTAGTTAGAGTAATTCACAGATGGAAAATAAGATATTAATTGGTTTTGTAATAAGGTGTTTTTCATTAAAATCGACATGTTTAATTTGATAACATTTTTTCATTGCATGTTTTATATATCTGTGTATTCGAAGTGTATTTATTCCGATAATTTTATGCATGTAACGTGGATTATAAGAAGTCGTTCAGATTTAGCTTTTAACAGTAAATGACCATTCTGTTTAGCACCATGTTTGAAAGTAGTCGACAATAAAACTACTTATAGTTAAATCCACATTTTCAAAGCTCAAAACACCAAAAGGACAGATAAATGACCATAAGTTTGTTTATGATTCAGACTCATAATCCATATGATTACGTAGATAAAATACATAAGTGGTTCACATCACTTTCTAAATCTCAATAAATAAAGACATTTGTTTATATAAAACTGAGTAATGATTAATTGACTGTTATTTATGAACTATTTTTAAATTTAAATTAACGAGGCTCCTGTAAACAAACTATTACTGAGCATCTGTGTTGAAACCGAGTGACTGATGTTTAAAGGCTCACTGAATTCGTGCTATATGGTGACTACCATTTACAGCTACCAGAAAGTATTTGTTTCCATTATAAATTTGGTTGAAATCAAGGTACCTTACTAGAAATCATAGAAGGGTAGTTTAGTTGTTTGTATTGGCCACTAGAGCAATAATAGGGATAAATATTTTTAAAAACTTGATGTCAATTGAGCTATACCATAAGTTGTTGAAATATGAAACATTCTAACCACCACATACTCATATCATGACTCAAAAGGTTACTGGTTAAGTATAAAATTTGAAAATTACTTTCTTAACATCTACTTTGATGGAGCTGGTTTTAAAACGCCTAGTTTCTAATTCGAAATCGGAAGTTAAACAAGTTATCCGGTTAATTTATCGTTAGGAAATGATTCACGTGTTATTCATTCCGTAGAATTTTTATTTGGTAGGTATACTTTCACATCGACATAAAAATTGCTGAGGAGTCCCATACTAGGACGAAGCGGCCGTTCAGTGCTTCCAGGTTTTCCATGGTGGTCTAGCTTCAATTGACTCATGATTTCAACAAGTGAAATTTCTAAAAGTCTCCACAAAACCCATTCTGATAATAAAAATTTATATCAAACTGTATCAAAACAGTATGTTAAAACTACCATTAAAATTCTCCTATAATCAAAAACAAAGTTTTCTGGAGAGTTTGGATTCCAGCGATCAATGCTTCCAATGACCAATTTTTTAATACAGTAACAAAGATTGTTTCTTAAAGTTACACGTGCGGCAATGGACTAGTAATTACAACATTAGCTTCCAATCCACGTCGTAATTCTGAATCCTCCTTCATCTGTTTCTATTTGGAGACTCGGGTATCAGTATTAGCCTTCAAAGTATAGTATAGAGAACTGCAATAGATAACTGAGTTGCACTGAATTAAAACTTTACAAAATTTATTCAGAATCGAGACAAATATACACATCCTGTTTAGTTTTTGGATTCAATACACTCAAGTGTATCTGAAAAGAGGGCGGTTCTGTTACATGTTGTTTCTTTCTTCCTCTTATATGTGTAAAGCACTTCTTATTTAATTACATTACGGTTAGCAAAATCGGTATTTGAAACAATCTTACGGTGCGCTTTCGACATTCAATTCAGGTTTGACGATGACTTCAGTGGATACATCGATGAGTTAAACAAATAAAGTATGATTTACGCAAGGGTAAATAGATGACAACCTGAAATCAAAAGGAAAGCATCCAATCGGTACCTAAGAATATTTTGTTTACAAGCATCAAATCCATGGGGTATATGTCAGCAAAGATCCCGAAAAGCTATCCACGAAGATCTACGAGAAAATTCACTGTAACACTTAACTGTCTTCTCATGTATGCAACTAACTCATGAATGTCCTACGAATAAATTGTTGTCCTGGTCCACGTTAAACCGCATCTATAATTTTGTTTGCTCCTGTAGAGTACAAAGCATGTACCTTATAAACGCGTATGCAAGTACAACCTTTCATGGTTATTAAAACAGGATGTACAGGTAAGTCAATGAGTCTATTCTCGAACTTCTTGTTAATTTTGGCCACATGCTTCCACCAGAACTATCATCCAAGATAATCTATTACGTAAAAATATCCGGGTTAAAGTGAGTTAATGTTGAAAAGTTTTAATGACTGAGGCTTCAATAACTAATCCATTCAAGCCTTTTCTGTGTTTTCAAAAGAGATATATCCAATTCCTTATTTTACTATGGTCTTAGTACTCCTGATTTTAAAAGTTGATGTTGGTATTTATTTGTTTATTCTTCACTTCGTATCAATCATTTTCATCATAATACTTCTAATTACCTTTAAGTATACATTGTAACTTACATTCAATAATAAAAACTTTAGATAACTTTGTTAATGACCATATATATGATTGTACAGCTTTAGTATATAACGTAATTAGGAAAGTTTTTTTCCTTCACTGAACTATCTTTATTTTATAAGCAAAGATGGATAGTGGCTAGCAGTGGAATCCAGGACGCGAGTTTCGTCCTGTTTGGGACTCATCAGCTGAATGTACCTGCATCTCAGAGTTGATGTTCACTCTGGGACTCGAACTCAGTACCGATCAGAGACTAATCAATTTCAGTCCTAAAACACCAATGGGAAGATTCAAGTAAAACAATACCAAGTGAATTATCTTTAGTTTGCTTAGATACCGACCAGTTTACTCTTAAAGAGTAGTTTCAGTGAGACAAGTAACTATTATATTGTTAATGATTTTAACCATTGGTATCTATACAAGTTCATTGATTAATAATTAATTTGAATGATTTGTTTCTTTCTAACGGTTTTATAGATGAAAAAATAGTAAGCAATGAAAATCACGTTATTAATGATTATTAAGGTTAAGTGAACAAAATACTTTAGGAGTATGTTGTGCTATCTTACATATCTATACATTCTTATAGAGACTCCACTTATACCAACAGGGTGATGATATTCTGTTTTCTCTAAATCTATAATTAGCCCGTTTAACCTTGACCTATTTCATGCGTTAAAAAAAATCAAGGCATGTGCAAAACAAAAGCTTATGATGTTTCGACTACTCTGTGTTTGGCTTTTTGTAAGTACAAGATCTTTAGCCTGTGAATAGAAGGGCTAGTAATTTTTCGATTTTGGTATTTAGAATTGGATTTGATCAGATATTTTGATATATAGGCTTCTTGAGTGTACGCCTCGAATTTGCCTGTAGCTGCAAGTTGATTATTTTCGGGATAATGGGTTACTTAACAGTAAGGGGTTGTGGAGATTGTTAAGTTTTGATTGAGATCATGAAACGATCAAAAACCCTATACTTTTAATTATCATGTGCTCTTTTGTGAATAACTTCGAGGGGTGATTCACGGAGTTCTAGTTAGAAGCTATGACCAGTGGAACTAATCCGCTTCAGGTGTGAGGCAGTTACCCATCGAAGACAATGTAAGATGATCGCTTAATATCGTGGATTGATTGAAGTTAGTTATTAACACCGCTAAATGCAGGCTTAGTG